GACCTTGCGGCGAGGCGGGATCTGGAGGAAGAGCACAGGGATGACACTGCCGACGACGACGAGCTGATTCCGGCTGCCGACGCACAAACTGTGCAGACACATGGTACCACCGAAGAAGATGTAGCGCAGATGGGAACCAACAAATCCACGGCCTCCAATGCGGAGGGGAGTGAGAAACCGAGACCACGATACCGGACTGGGACCGGACCATTTATGGCGCTCGACTTGCTTGCTCCTGGGCGGCCTCCGTATCATCGCTATCGCCATGATCTTGAGTCCTTTTTCTATGTCCTGACATATGTGTGCGTCACGCATCAGCCTGCTACTCAGACATTTTCGCGGATTGAAGAATGGGAAGACCCGAATATATTCACAATTGGCGAAAAGAAGCGGTCGTTCATCCTCAATGTGGAAACGTACTTGGACATCACCTCACGCGCCGATCCCGCTTACAAGAGGCTCATCGACGAATGGGTTTTTGCTCTCCTATATTTATTTGGAGGGCTCGAGGTCGACGGTCCCAATTTCCAACGCTTGCGCTTCAGTCTTTTGGCCGCGACTCGCGCCGAGAATGGAGCTATGATCAAATCCATAAATGACGATTTAAGGAAGCTGAGGGCGAAGAAAAATAATCTCGTTTCTTACGAGGCCTTCATGAAGTGTTTGCAAGCTCCGATCGACCACAATCCCTCTGAATGAGGACGCTGATTCATCTTACTTTTACACATAACTTATTCTCTACTACCATTCCTCATGTGTGTTCCGTTCCTAACCAAATATTAGATGGTGTGTATTAATGTCCTGGAGCATCCTGATGCCTTCATAGGCAGCACACTGTAGAATCATTTAGCTATCACTCTGGAGATCAATAAGTTCAAGCCCATTGATAAATGATGCCGAGCTGAGATGCGAATCATAATTGCTGTGTTCAGTCATCAGGGATCTGTGTTTGATCCAATGAACGCTGACAACTTACGATCTGTGTGCACTGGCAATAACCTCATATTGTCAAGTACGTAAACTTGCAACGACATCCCTTGTGAATCAGCGTCTCAGGCAATTAGTCCTTCAATACGCGGACAACTATTTCTCCAACATGTTGGCTTCTCCAAGTGTCAATAAGCAGCTTGGACGTCTTTAAATGCAAGGATGTCGTCGATCATCGGCTTCAGACCATTCGTAACGATCATGCGGTTCATCTCCTCGAACTTACGAATATACGATGTCAATTTGATATCTCGGGTGCTGTAGAGGGGCCTTGCTAAGTATGCGACCTAACCAGTATTCTACGCACGACGACCACTTGAGAGAGCATTATTTCGAGGAAGGCATTATTACCTACCTGTACATGATGCAACACATCAGCTCTCCGTGACGTCAGGTGTGAAGGGCGATCGTAACGCACCCAGAAACGAATCCAATCTCACGTATGTAACCACCGAAACGGACGCATTTAACCAACTTGTCGAACGTTCCCAACCCACACATCTCAATGATGCCGTCCACTCCCTTGCCGCCAGTCTGGGACAGGCCAGACAACTCTTCTCCGAGCTGTTACGAAGCTTTACAATTCATTGTAGCCTAAACCCTGTCGAGTATATGTTTTTAGTTCATGAGATTTTTTGCGCTGAGCTGTGCAGCAACCTCCAATTAGAACAAGAATATAAAGCATGGCGCTCTAGAAATCCTACGGCCGTGTGAAAGCTTCCTCGAATGACAGATGGGCGGGATCTCCACCGCAGACTATCCAGAACGATAAGTCTCTGAGTTCAAAATGCATGATCACCACATACGTGAGCAGGTACGATCTTGCACTCCGTGAGCAGCGCGTCGATTGCCCCACCGAAGGCGCTCCCCCAAATGTTTTTAACGTGTCTTGCCAAAGATGTGGTCGGTTGCAAAACTCGAGCAGATGTGGTCGCCCACAGCGACGATCTCGCCGGCCATATTCAGGCCTAGCGCAAGTCTCCTCAAACCGCTGAATAGTAAGGTCATATTGAAAGTGAAATAACTCAGTCGCCACAATATCAATAAGTTTCCGACACAGCTGTCGCCGTAGATGAAGTTTATGGATAAAGGTGGCATGTTTTTTGGAGCCTGGCCGGGTGGCCCGTGGAGAGTTGAGGAAGCATAGAATAGAGAATGGGTAGTTACTTTAAAGTCAAATCTAGGTGCGCACAGAACAGCACAATCAGTCTAGTTTCAAAAGGTCACTTCCGAAACTTACCGAAACGGCAAGGCGCATCGCGGCCGTACAGACTCGTGGACATTACGCCCTGACAAGATGCATCGACTTGATCATACACCGAACAGAAACATGGCCATAGCTTAAGTCATTGTAGATTCCAATGTCAAGAGTCTTTGAGATACAGTACATATATGCTCAATTTTTACGCAGTTGTTCCGAGGCAAAGGCAAATTCACAGCGGTAGTGCGACAGAAACTGAGCAAGCAAAACGCACTGAATAACAGTTAACATAAACAACTCACGTTCAGTATGTAATTATCTCTACACGCAATATTAGTAGACCTCTACCCTGTCACCTGCTCACACCCATGTATACAACCGTCAGTCCTTCGAGACGCGGACGACGACCTTCCCAACGTGCTGCTGGCTCTCTAGGTATTGGTACGCAGCGAGGGTGTCTTCAAACGCAAACACCTTGTCTATGACAGGCTTCAGGCCATTCTCAACAATAAGCCGATTCATGTCTTCGAACCTAGGAAAATTGTGCCCATTCAGTGGAGGGTGACCTGCGATTAAGCTGAGACTGACTGTGTGCGTGACCCTATAAGGATGCCTCGGAAAATAACCGCTCGACCAAGGATCAATCCGGGAAGACTATTGACATCACCCGCCTAGTGAAGTGTTAGCGGTTGAAATAAGGTTATAATCGGATGACCGACCCCAGCGACAAATCCGATGTCATTGATGCAGCCCGCAAAGCGAGTGCATTGCACCGACTTCAACATCGTCCCAGGCCCACCTACCTCGATGACATGATCCACCCCTCTGCCGTCGGTCTGTAGCGTGCATCAGACAATATGGCTTGACTCATCACTGAATGACCTCACAATTTTCATCACCTCCTGCTCCCAGTCAGGTGTCTTATTGTAGTTGATAAGGTGCTTCGCGCCGAGCCCAGCGGCAACTTCGAGTTTGCGGTCCGAAGACGAGGTAGCGATGACAGTGGCGCCGGAAGCAACGGCAAATTGCAAACCGAATATAGAGACACCACCAGTGCCCTGGACAAGGACCGTATCGCCGGCTTTGAGAGGTATTGGCCCCATAAGCGCATTGTACGCTGTCACAGCTGCGCATCTGTGCGATAGAGATGCTTTGCGATTATTACCAAAATCGAAAATGCAAGACACGAACGGTAGAGTAGAAGCTTCCTCATAATTGAGGTGAGAAGGAATCTTCACCAATGCCTAGGTGAATGATCAACATAAAGTAAGGACGGGGAGAGATATGGAAACACACACATGTGCAGGTAGAACTTTATATTCAGTCAATACACCATCAATCGGTGCCCCAAGCGCAGTCAGCTTAATTTCCTCAGTGGTATTACCGTAAATATGATCGGTGCAAAAATTCGAGCAAACACGGTCGCCCACGCTCCAGCCATGCACCTCTGTGCCCACAGCGATGATCTCGCCTGCCAAATCGGATCCGGGGACGACATTGTCTTTCATGCCGAGGGGGTACAAACCCTTGGCAACCACAATGTCGCGATACTGTGATCCACACCGATAAAACGGGCAATGAGTATGAGAAGCGGGGCGTGAATTACCTGTAGAGAAACCGCGTGGACCTTGACGAGAACCTCAGATGATTTCAGAGGAGGGAGGGCAGCTTCTGTCAAAGTGAGGTTGTGAATACCATCCGTCTGCGACGATCATGAGATGCGCGTCGTGGATCTGAGCTGCGTATCCACACACCTTTGGGAGACGGTACTCGCGGGTGGTCGTAGGGAGGGCCATGGCGGACACGGAGAGTAACGGACGACGAGAGAGGTGGATCGGGTGTCAGAAGATACGTCCTCCCTCACGGTTTCTTATGAAGAGACGGATCAGGCGGAAGGTGGGGCCAAATGGCTGAGTAGGCTGAGCGACACGGGAGGCCCGGAAGGGGGTGACAGCATGGGCGAATCAGAGGTAAGAGTAGTAACGCTGTGTGGAAGTCGAGCGTACCGGCTGATCCTGGTGGGCGATTGCCCTACGGGTGTATTGTTTCGCCTCAACCATTGAGACAGCTCGCTCGTCCTGCCAAGGACTAGAATCGTCCGCGGTAAGGATGCGCACCGAAGACGTGCTGACCAGCGCTGGCTAGCGGTGCATGCTATAGGAAGATAGCAGGATCTGTGCAACCAGTAAGCAGAGCAGGTCTGAGCGTGATTCGGACGCAATGCGCAGCGGATGTACCAAGGCTTGCGGCGGTGTGAACGGGCGAGAAGGCAAACGCGTTTGGTGAGAGTCTCCTTAGCGCTCTCCATGCGACCGGCGATTTGTCGGCTCTCAGACTGTGCGAGCCTCCAAGTCGCCGCGTCGTCCTCGACACCGTCCTCGACGTCGGCCTCGACGACATCCACGACGCCGACCCTCCTTTCGTCGTCTGCAATGTACGCGCAGGGCCAGTCACGTCCCTCCTCCGCTTATCTTCCCGACACCGCCCCCCAGCGCCCATACACCGAGTATGACCAGCCCGACGCCCAACAGGACGCTCAGTATACCGCTCAGTATGCCCGCCACGGTCGTCCTCCGCGTTCATCATCCATGCAGGGTCGCTCTCCCTCGCGGCCAGCGCGGTCGTCCTCCCGTCCTCCGACGCAGTTTGAGCCCCAGTACGATGCCTACGCATATGACCAGGAGCTGCCGACACCGCCGGACCAGGATGCGGATGATTTTTATACCGCATCTCAGACGAATCTCTACGACGAACAGCCGTATCCAGCACAGTCTATTGCTCCTCAGTCCGTTCGCGCACCCTCACCGCCCCCCGCACCCGTCCTCGACCACTCTCATCTGCGCCCAGGCAACCAGGCAGCTCTCCTCTCCCATGAGCGCACGCTCGAGCTTTATCGCGCCAACGCAAAGAAGACGCAGGATCCAGACCTGCAGTTCGAGTTCGCCGTTTTCATGATTGATGCATCGAAGAATATGCCCATCCCCGAACCCACGCCTGGCAATGTGATGGACGTTGAGAAGGCCGTCCAGAAGCGTGAGGACCTCATTCGTGAGGCCACATCCCTCCTCAAGCGTCTCGCGGATCGCGGCCACATGCCCTCCCAGTACTTTCTCGCAGATTGCTACGTCAACGGCATCGGCACACACAAGAGCCGCCAGGACTTTGATCGCGCCTTTCCGCTCTTCGTGCTCGCCGCCAAACACGGCCATCCCGACGCTGCTTACCGTGCAGGGACGTGTTGCGAGAATGGCTGGGGCTGCCGCCGTGAGTCTGCGAAGGCCATACAGTTCTACCGCAAGGCTGCGGCCGCCGGGCACCCCGGTGCCCTCTACCGTCTGGGTATAGCCGAGCTTAACGGAGAGCTTGGAATGTCCAAGAGCCCCAGGGAAGGTGTCAAGTGGCTCAAGCGTTCCGCCGAGCACGCTACCGCCGAATATCCGCACGCCCTCCACGAGCTCGCGCTTCTTCACGAACGAGGGATCGACAACGTCCTCTTCGTCGACTATGAGTACTCCGCGGAGCTGCTCGCACAGGCCGCTGAGCTTGGATATGCACCCAGCGCGTACCGCCTTGGTGAGTGCTATGAGTATGGCAAGATGGGCTGCCCGCAGGACCCAGCGCTTTCGATACATTACTATGTGCGTGTCCAATGCGCTAGAACTCCCTCTATTTAACGTCATAGCTTCGATTTTTCACTCTTCGTAGAACATTGCCGCCCAGCAGAATCACCGCGATGCATGCTTCGCATTGACCGCATGGTACTTGGTTGGTTCGCCCGGTGTTCTGCCCCAATCAGATACAGAAGCATACCTCTGGGCACGGAAGGCAGCCGAAGCGGGCCTCGTGAAGGCGATGTATGCGGTGGGATACTTTCTCGAAGTAGGCATTGGTACAGAGCCCAACGTGACAGAGTGCGTCCCCGTTTGTCTCTCTCCTTCCCTATGCTGTCGCATCCTAGCTGTCCTCCGACGCTCCTGGGTTGTCACCCTCCCCCTAGTAATCACCGACTGCTATTTATGCCGTGATGCTTCTCTGTTTCTAGGGCTACGACTTGGTACAAGCGGGCCGCGGACCAGGGCGACCGACGTGCCTCCCAGCGGCTCAAGGGCGGCCCCGTGCCCACGCCCGGTGGGCCGGGCTCCGTCCTTCACCGAAGTGCGAGCGACGAAGTCTCCACGTCAGCGGCTGGCAAAGGCGGGAAAGACAAGGACTGTATCATTATGTGAACACAATGGGTGCGTTATGCAGCCGGTACGTGGACATCTACATATGGCATACATAGACCCGGACAACGCAGTGGACAAGTATTGTAGGCGACCTCTTTATTCAGCATTCCCTTCCTCCTTACATAAGACATAAGTCGCACTCGACAGTGTCGTACGTTCGTTTGTCGCTGCCCTACAACATATTATTGTATTGGTTTAATGGACAGACTATCCTAAAGTACCAGCTCGGGCTAATGGAATGTAAGCTACCGTGCATCGCAAGAACAGGAAGTCCAAGACATTTCTCCATCAGATTTTCTTTCAATGGCATTCTCATTTGTGACCGTCGCGGCGATCAAGTTGCTGAGTTTGCCTCCGCCTTGATAGCCGCTAAGTAGGTCGCAGGATTGTCAAATTGTCGAGTACCTGCCATTATGTGCAGAACATAGCCGGAAATGATTTTCACTATCACCCGTGAGTACTAGGACCCATACCTAGCTATCAAGCTGGATATTCATAGGCGGGATACTCAGCGTAAACGATAATACCGTAAATATGAGACGACGAATAACCATACGGCTCCCTGAGCCCCTTCAAGCAATCTATGCCATTTAAATTCAGAACTTCGTGCGTAGAACAAAGTATAGATGATGCCGACCACCGTGCATGTTCGATTTATAGCGGGCAACGCTACGGTGTCGAAGAAAACACTTCTGCAACTTGAATCCAAGGTACTCAAGGCCGCCGATTCCGCATCAACATACTAAAAGGCCCCGAGCTTCTAGCGGATATTTAGGGTGGAGTCGTGGTCTTCTGAGTTCAGTCGAGCACTCAGTCCAGTGCCCACTTCCTCTTCTCACCTACCACAACACAATATATTATTATATTCTTTATCTGATGGGCAAAATCTCCCAAATACCAGCCTGGATTGATTGAACGTATGCTACTGTGCATCACAAGAACAGGAGGCCTCCAATATTCAGTGAATTTTCCCTCAATAGCATTCCCACCTATGCCCCCCCACAGCAAGCAACCTGTTGAAGAGCTCGTCTCTGCCTTTGATGGCGGTCAGAAGACAGCTTTCACCCGCTCTATTTTCTATTTCCAGCCCGTCGAGCACCTCCCGCTGCAGGACCCAGCCGATGACCATCTTCCCCTTCCACCCGTACCCGCCAACCTTCCTCAGCCCTTGAATGTCCGCAAGCGCGATGGCAAACACCGGGGGCGGGGCATCCGTGCCCGCCGTCGTCTTGCCCGAAACGGTCAATACGGCACCGGCAAGCTCCCTGCCGAGGCCTTTCTCCCAGATGAACGACACGAACGGCGACGCCGCACTAGTAACAAGCACTACATAGCCACGTTTCCCGTGAAAGCGCGCTGCATACGTTGTTGGGCCGTCGCCCAAGCCCACCCGGCTGCCCGTAGGACCGTTGACGACGATGCTGGCTTTAGCTTCCGGCACAACGCCTAGCCGCCGCTTCGCAGCCTCCGAGCCCAGCTTTGCCTTGACGTGGTCCAGGCTGAGCGCGCTACTCACAGTAGCTTTGCTTGTCCCCTTGATGAAGCGCATGAATTTACCACTGGCAGTCCGCTTGGTTCCTTTGTCTTCGTTGTCCGCATCTACGGCCCTAGCCGAAGCTGTCTCTCGGCTTGCGCCTTCTACCGCATAATTTGACGCATCGAACTCGTAGTCGTGCTCTTGTACCGCTATTTCTGGGTTATCTGCATACTCATCGGATGTATCCGTCACTTTGTTAGTGGAGGGCGGCGGAGGTAATGGCGTCTGGGCCGCCTCTGCAAGACGTAACAGTGTAAGGGTGAGTTGCGCATTCGTAGGCACTCCCTTGAGAATCGATCTAAGAGAGTGTAAGTCATCCAGATTTGATCAGCATGGAGAGTACAAACGAACCTGCGTAGCTCCAGCAACTCTCGCCAATTTGGAAAGTGCTGCGTCAGCCAGTGCGCAAAACGAGTCATGAGTGGTTGTCCAAAGACACCGAATCCGATGCCGAACGTGCCCGCCTTCACAAATGCCGCCGATCGAATGACAGTCGTTGCCAAAAGGAGCGGCAATACAAGCGACGCAAGCCTAAGGCGTGGCGCATGAGAGAATGGCGGAGCAGGAGACAGTGCACTGGGACACCGATAAGTCAGTGAGGATCAAGCTACTACGGTCACAAACAAATATTTACTTGCTGAACCGCTCCCATGTGTCAGTGATGTCAGCCAGAATCCGCATCACCGGACGAGCTTTCTCCCACAGGGCCATCTCCATATGTTGCTTGGTAGCATCGTGTTTACCGTCTAGCCGAGCGCCATGCGCCACATACTTTGCGTCAACAGTTGAAGATGCAAGGTCAGTTGGCTCCGGGAAGGAAGCTCCTACACCGCCTTCCTCATGCTCTCCATTTACGCCCTCGTCGGCAGACACTGAATCAGGGGCTGCCTTCTGACCGGTTGCGGCACCAATGGCTAAAGACGCGACCCCAGACACAAAGTTTGTCGCCTCTTGCTCGACAGCTTCTCCCTTGTGCGCTTCTGCGGCCCCCGTGAGGCTATCCTCGCTACCAATTGTACCAGCGCGGGGCACTTGCAAATTTCCGGACGTCGTACTTACAGCGGAAAGGGGAGCTGGAGGAAAGAGAATACGACGAGCCGGAGGATGTAGTATGAGAACGAGAAGAGTGATACTGATCAGTGCACCCAGGAGATTGCTGTACCACGCAAGATAGTAAGCCTGGATGAGATGTCAGTGATAGCAGCTGAGTAGTCATAAGACTGTACAGACAAGGCAGAAGCCAGTAGTGCGGCAGGGTTCGTTCCATGAGCGGATGCGGGCGAGATGCTTTCCGAACGCTGCCATGCTCACTATCTGTGATGCATCATAGAATAGCTTGAGCAGGAGGAAATACGAGTATAAAACATACCACGGTCATATACAGTCTTTCGAGATGAGCGCGGAGTTTGTCAGGGGAGAACTCTTCGTCCTCGGAGAGCTCGAGGTCGAGCTGGCCCGGGGGCGGGTCCAGGATTGCCTTTACGTGATATATTTGCTACATAAAAAAGGATAAAACATAGATATTTGCGCTTCGCAGTTTTTTTAGAGATGTGCACACCTTATTGAATCGCCGAATAAGGGTGAAAATATCTTCGTTCGTGAGCCCGTTAACAAGTGTGGGGGGCAAATGGCCGAGATCTTTGTTCCATCCAACATCCCTTACTTCCGGGTCTTTCAGCTCGAGCTGGGCGTCTGTACTAAGCTCAGGGTCCGGTGGGGGCTCGACCGTCTGTGCTACCACGTTGGCATCGGATTCGAGCTGAGGTGCGCCGTCAGGAGCGGCTATGATAGATGTCTCCAGCTGTATTTGGTCGTCCAAAGGATTGTCTGTCGGGGTTGTGCTTGCGTCCATTGCGGGTGGTCAATACCGGACCTGTGGCGCGAGGCAGGCAACGTTTGAGACATATTGCTCCCTCTACTGGTGAGCAATTGGTGGTGCAAAGACCGGGTGACGTCACGAGGCCCGTTTAACGTTGGCTTAATGGTAAATTAACGCCGGCCCTCTCCTCGCACCATGAAGTCACCACCCACCTTTAATCCATCCTTGAAGCCAACACATAAAATAAATACTAGTGGACTGAAAACCGTGCGGTAAAAGCGTCTCAATCGGACACGAATTCAGCGTGGACGACAATGCAACGATCGAAGAAAAAAAAACGCTGAAGCTGACGGTGAACAGGACATCGCACCCCTTGTACAAGCGAAGGGAAATTAGGCACAGGAATGGCAATGCAGTCAAGAGTAAGAAGGGGCTGCGCAGGTGGATGTGGAAGAGACGGACTTGGAGCTGAGAGGAGATCTCCCCGGTAACCCGTCCATAGGGTTACGCAGCCGGCGCGAGCTCAGAATTGGTGCGCCTGCGCTTCCTGAAGTTGACCTTCAAATTTCTGGACTCTCAGGCTTTGGCCTTTTACACTGCAATTTTTGCACAGGGATATCGATATCTTTATTCCTGATGCCCTCTCCTTGAACGTTAAGTTTTCGACAATTCTTTGCTTCGTGCTCTCTTCGTGTGCGCCACCTCAGAACAGCGATGAGCGGGCTTATGTCTTTCACGCCTTATCCCTGACGTCTGGTTTCTGGCTATAGAACTAGGGTTGCATTTTGCTTTGAAGGCCAATTTCTGAAGGTTGCCCAGAGGAGACCAGGTTCCTAGTGGATTTTCACCAGGCTCTATGGGTTCCTTTCATGCACATTGTTCCGAATCTGACTCGGATTACCTACATGCATAATTCGAGGTTGCCTGGGATTCTGATGCTCAGTTTCACACACGATATACGGAAGTTCAAGTTATCGATACGCTGGTTGTATTTCGTGTTGGCCTTTATTAATTGACAACCTCCGTATCACGAGGTTTCGCCGCTATCGGACGTTATATCCAGCATCTAGCCTCGTGCGATTCTCATGTGAACACTTCCCATGGGATATCTGACAACTCAATAGTTCCATCGAGCTTCCAGCAACGAGGCCATGGATTATCAATGATGGCGGTGCTTGATCGTCGACCACTCGTACTTTGTCGATGCTTATAGAATCTCGATTCTTACATCACTCTGTCTCTTTGAAAGATGCCAGGCAAGGCTATGTATACAAATGTGAGTAAAGTCTCATCCTTCAGCGTTCTTTGCCAGTCTAGAATCACAATTGTAGATCCCAATTTCCAGTAATCAGCCAGCCTGCTCCTATGTCAATCTCTCCTGAAACGGTTACTGTAGTCGGTGAATCGGCGTAAGTGAGGAGCCTACTATTTGTGTTGCTCGCCATCTAACGTGTACCTGCGTGATGATTATGATTCACTGAGGTATGTCATCTGGTTGTAACGAATGACTTGTAAGCTGATACCTAAACCCCTCACTTTGCAACTGTTTCTGAGTACTTGTCAAGCTCACCGCCTCAATTTTCCATGATTACCAATATTGAGTGCGACGAAATTATCCTCTCCATTTATATGCAGCTGAAACTTACAATTAGTGCGCAAAATTTGGAGATTGCTACATCCAATCAGGGGGCACAGACCAATGAATACAACAATCCTTTTTTTTATTACCTTCAATGTTCACTCAGCGTTAGGGTCCTGACTGGAAAGCGTTTGAGACTCCCTACCCATGCCAGTGGAACTCAGGCACTCGGTTTCGCCCAAAATCATGAAAGAATTTTCACGCTTGTGGCCACTGCCGCGATCGCTGCAACCTGCCACATCATTCGTTGAACGCATGAATGAAACCCATGATCTCGCCAATATAAACTACGCGATAACAAGCTGGGATATTCTTGCACAGCTTATGAAAGTGACTCATTCATTACATGTTGAATATTTGGGTGGTCTCGCCACGTCACTCGTGTTGCGCAACGAACATTTCAGAGACGTCGATGACATTGCAGCGGTGATTGTGGCCATCGACGAAATATTAAGACCAGTAGAAGACAGCGATCCTAAAAGGCTTGTCTTTATGCATGAACTTGGCACCTTGCTTTTACAGCATTTTGAGCGGCTCGCCGACATTTCTGATATCGACGAGTCGATCCCGGCGATGGAAGGTCTAGTACGGCTCACTCCAGACGATCATTCCGACAAGGTTGGCGCTCTGAATGGCCTCGGAGAATCGGTGATGACCCACTTCTAGTGCTTGGGCGACCCCATCGACATCGATAGATTGATTTTGGTGACGGAATACGTAGTTCGGCTTACCCCAGATGATCATCCTCACAAGGCCAGCGCACTGCGCAACTTTGGTAGTTCACTGCTGACTCGCTTCAAACGCCTGGGCAATCTCACGGATATTGACAAAGCAATTACAGTGCTGGACGATGCAGTATGGCTTACCCCAGGTGACCATCCACACAAGGCTGGCCATCTGGTGACTCGTTGTTACGCCGCTTCGAGCAATCGGGTCACATTGAGGATATTGACGGATCAGTTCTGGTGTTGGAGGAAGCGGTGTGGCTCACTCCAGATGATGATCCCGACAAGGCTCGTTGTGTTACTAACTTTGGTACCTCATTCTCTCGTCGGTTCGAGTGGCCGGGCGCGACCTCGCAGATCTAGACAGGTCAATTCCACTGCGGAAAATGCGTAAAGGCCAGGGCTCATTGCCAGGATCCCTGGATATCTGCAAGTAGACATCGACGAACTCGTTAGCAAAACTCATGTTCGCGTAAGCCCTATTGGAAGCGTGAGGCAAGAGGGAACGAGGAACGAGTCAGAAAGAATGATGATGATAATTTGGCCAGACGATGGAGCGCTTCGAATCCACACTCGCAGGAAGGGGAGCCAAGGGGGAGCAAAGCTACATTGCACCCTCTTGCGCTAGGGCGGGACGAGTCTTAAAAGGAAAGAGCTGCATAGCGTTGAATGCAAAACGATAACAGCGCGACGCCAGATCCATTGTGAAGCTCGAACAATCCACTGTGTAAGACCAGCTTTTTGAGCTTAGGCACCTCTTCCGAGCATCCTGCGCACCGTTGCCCCAGGAGGAGCCAGGAAAACCGGTCTCGGATTTTTGAGGGTGGTACTCGCCGCCTATTTTTATCTCTCCAGGATACGCACTGAAGATCTCACAGCCGACATTGAAACAATAACAGAATCACTGCACCTACCTGCTACTTCCATGCCGAATGTCGCCGGACATTGAACAGGATCACAAGCCCCACAAAATTTGCCTCACGGGATGCTTGATAGTCAGGATTGCGACGGTGAGTACATTACGAGCATCACCTATCCACTCCTTCTCTCCATTTTGATTTGATTCCGCAATCCTTGAGCATGTTAACAGCCGTCGCTACCCGCCTATTGTCATCTTCACTCTGTTTGTCATTACCTCTGTTATCGTCGCCTTGGAGAACGTATCCAAGAAGATACATACCAGGTTTTCCTCCAGGATTGTGTGCGTTCGCGATAGTATCACGAATAGCAAAGCATAATGCGCATGACCGACGCATATATGACCGACGCATATATGACCGACGGACGCGGAACAAGAGCCCCTATCTTGAGCATGAAATCCGACGGAAAGGAAAGTGGGAGACTGAGAGCCTGAAGACTACGAGAGGCCATGCCGATGTCTTCATCGGGTACCACGTTACGATAATGGCGAACTAGGAACAAATTGGTGCATTCGAACTCGGGGAGCAGACGTCTATGGCATGTTCCGCAACTGCCATCCCGGTATTCTGCAGTTTTCGGAGAGCAAGTTTCACCAGTTTTACGGGTAAATAATAGTAGTCTAATGGCGTATGTAACTTAAGTATGGTTCAAGAGAGTTTCCTCGACGGGTTTAAGTATAGAGAAAGACCCCTTCAGGTGGGGCCGCCGGTTCAGACAAGCGGCTGCTGACTAAGCGGAAGCCAATAGCCCGGTACTAAGTCAGTATTCAATATTCATTCAAGTTAGCACTACACCTCTGTACCGTCACATTCATGGCTGCAATAATCCCCATTACAACGTCTCCTGGACACCATGCTAAAGCGGCACATATTCTCTCCAACTGCCTTCAGCAGCTTGAATTACCACATGCATTCATCGGAGGTTTTGCATGGTCGCTGCTAGGCAGCCACCGGCCAACAGAAATAAGCCGCATTCTATTATCCCCTCGCAATACATAAGTCTTGATACTGTCCGCTCTAGTACGACATCGATGTGTTGATCAAAGTCGGAGACAACGTCAATCTTCACAATTTGCGCGAGACGCTCTCACTATTGGACGCGCACTTTGCATCTGCAGGGATCAAATTCTACTTCGTGCAAGTGCGTCTCCAATAATGCTCTTGCGTACTTATTTTGGGCCGGATTGATTGTGACCTGGTATTACTACGCAACTGATTTGCTTGTTTTAGGATCCGCTGAACGATGCACAAGGCGACGTCCTCAAACAGCTGCAGATGCGGAAGAATAACGTGGTCATCGAGACGCTGCAAGCAGGCACCCTTGGCCTGCCCCAGAATCCCGAGCCGCGGTTCATCATTGAGCGTGACGGATGCTGTACGCCCTTGTCGTCTTCCTCTCTTGCACATCCCAATATGACTCCCAACTCCAGCAATCCCAATCCTCCGCCCATCAGTGCTCATCCTGACCAAAATGAAGCGCTGGTCCCATAACTGTGATTCGATGCGGCCGAAGACGGTACAGAAGAACGCCTCCGATAAGGCTGACATCGATTTCCTAGTCCGCTGGCTTGCTGAGTACGGCATGATGATTGAGTTTGAGCTGTACGAGGGCAAATCGAAGGACCAGCTGCTCGACTTCGTCAGGCAGTTCCGCAACCGGTTCGCGGAGGACGAGGAACTCATGGCAGATCTGAAGAAGACACTCAACCCCCACGACTGGGAGCTCCTATGACGTGCTGAATGGCATTTTGTGTAAGTTTCAAACATAAACTCTGGTTCACTTTCAAATATTTTGCAGTGATGGCCTGTCAAAGCCTGTACCACTTCTTGGAGTCAGCACACAAGCAAATCGACGGACGAACCGAGAAGGCGTTGAGCATTCCATATACACGAGCGCGGAAGCCTCTGTTGTATCCTGCTCCTGGGATGAGCAGCAAACAAATCTCTATATTTGGCTCACTACGGTACGGATTCTGTTCTTGCCATGACACGAACTGAGAAATAGACATGGGAGCTTGAGCAATGAACGCAAGGGCAGATATTCAGTCTGATCTCTAAGTGCAAGTTGGCCATTTGCTCACGGGGAGGAATGTTACTGTCTTCCTCGAGACCTGTAAACCGCGGCTGGCGTAGCATGACGTATGTAGCAGAGATGTTGCGGTCGGGCTATTCAGTAGCCCGATCAGAACGTGAGGAGAGCGCGTCCAATGAAGCTTACTTCTGGGCTCCTTGGGAACCTGCGAGTGAACGTTGGCAAACTCAGTAGCGGTAATCACGATCTCTTTAGCTTACATTTAAACATAAGCAGAGGGAGAGTGAGAGCTACGGTTGGAGAAAACGAATCAGGAGCAAGCAAAACCGTATTGCACCCTTCAAGCCCCTATTTCCATTGTGGTCGGAACGAGGATGCATGGCAACACCCTGCAGAGCGAAGGCTGCCAGCAGATGCTGTGACACAGCCATCGCACGTAAAGGTGGAACTAACTGATGCAGCTTCATGCGTCTCTTAATAGTGTTGAGTGTCGAGTTGCAAGCCGGCCGTCCATTGCCGTGAAAAAAGCTGCAACTTGTGATCTAGACTGAGAAGGCTCATCTCGACTTAGCTGGTATCCTATTGGCGTACAAAATCTGCTTTATATTAGCTCTGCGACGGTAAATACCTGACATGCCCGTCTCCCGTAACAATGCTTGCTAGAGCATCACCCATCCACTCCTCGTCTTCTGCCCATTCCCGCTTAATTCCCCAATTCCTGATGACCTGGACGGCCGCCGTTACCCGTCTGTTGTCGTCTTCACTCTGATCTTCATCATCACCATCGGCATCTTCAAGAGTATATCCTAGAAGATGGTACATGATTAGCTCCGACATGTCTGCCTCTAGCATCGTCCGCATGCGACAGTATTGTGGATAGCAAAGCATGATACGCATGATCGACGCAAACACAGCTGAAGGACGTGGTACAAGGACATCCAGGCATCGAGATGGAGATAAATGAAGTGGTGGCGCTTTGGAAAGCTCGGGGAATTGTATAGAGGCGAAAGAGAGAGGGTACAGAACCAGGCGCTGAATTGAAGAAGGCGCTGTGAAGTGCGATATTCGATAGAAGTGGCCTCTTGCGACCATATCGCTCTCCACCTTGAGCATGAAATCCGATGGAGGGGACAGTGGAAGACCAAGAGCCTCGAGACTACGAGAGGCCGCAATGATGTCTTCGTCGGGCACCGCATACGAGTAGTCCTATCAAGCGTGTGAGCGACATACGCGAACTTAGAATAATTAGAATTGCTGGATTCCTCACCCTTACTAGACGGGGAACACCCATGCGCCTGAGAAGCAGTGCACCCCACTCCACAACCTCTATCCCGGCATTCTGTAGTGTCTGTAGAACCAAGTCCACCACTTCCTCAGGCAAAGAATAACTGTCAAATGGTGTTTGCGAGTAATAGTTCAGAAGAGATTGTTCAACGGGTTTATCGGGGAAACCATGAGGATGAGAGGCCGAAGGAGTGCAGATCATACTGGTGGTGGTAGTGGACAAGTTGCAGACGCTCTAAGCAAGCTCCAAGTAAAGAATAAGTAGTGGCTGACTAAGCTGTATTATAATAATAGGCGCTGAGGCTGTGCAGCTGTGCATTGCACAACGCACTCGAGACGATATCTATCGCATTCTCGTGAAAGACAAACACAATTTGACAATGGGGATTTGTGTTGGAGCTATCAAGAATCGTCGAACAGAGCGCGATAGATAAACTCCAGGATGTACACATACATGCATGGCGATTTACACGACCTTAAATCCAGCGTACTACTATAACAGTGCGATCCGAAAGCAGCAAACGAGCGAAACTCACTAATGGGGTATATAAAAGCATGAGCACGATGCGAGGACGGTATGCGTGAAATGGTGATAGTACACTAGAGTCGTACATTAGTCCAAACGCCGCACACTTCACAGTGTGCGAGACATGACATGACATAATATAGCATAGTGTGAGTATCAGTCTTCTTGCATCTCTTGCAACTTCGATGGATCGAACCGATGTACTGTCTCTATCGCTTCCGAGCCTCGTCGCGCAAACACAAGCTATCATACAGCACGCACGCAATGAACATCACGCTTGGGGCAATTCACTTCCGACTCGAGCACTCACCATGTACGGATTCGCGGTAGACCCTGTCGTATCCGCGAAAACCTCCTCTTTTGTAACGGCACTCACTTCCGAATCGTTGTACTTGAACCACTGCTCCGGGTGTTCCGGCAGGTTGCGAGAGTAGAAAAAGTAGTGTCCCCAAGATGGCGACGATCCACGGTGGATGAATACCGATGTCAGTTCATATGCCGCTGACCTATCGCTTTGCCACACATCCTCGATCTGCGCCTTCAGCCGGGTCACTGTATCCCGCTCTTTCTCTAGAAGCTGCGTGACGTGATCGCTCTCGCGTCGCAGCTCAGAGAGCAGGGAAGCAGTGACCTCTGGAAGAGGAAGGATGCTTTGCTTGGAGAGGAATTCTGCTGTGGCGTTGAGGGCGGGCGGGAAGGGAGCATACTGTACGGGTATGAGCAGAATGATCAACATAAAACAAAGTAAAGGCACGTGCTTTGTCTTGAGCATAGCGCTGTATACGGTCACGACTTGCGTTCAGCTCGGCCTGTATAGACTTTGCACGAGCTTTCTTCTCCGGATTTGCACTATCGAGGAACCGATCCACGTAAAGCGTATCCCCATACTTGATATATGCCTGGGACTTGTATGCCTGTTGGGTTTCTCGGTCGAATTGCACTCGCTAGGATATTTCATAAGCCGCCGCAATCAGAGCCGGTACATGAGGGTACTGGTACCTGTAGCTGTATCTGCAGTAAAGGAGGCAGGTCAACCAGCGACACCTCCATTCGCTTCTTGGATCCCTGCACTTCAACAACGTCGTCGAAATATCTGGCCAATCCGTCGTATAGATCGAATCCCTCATCGGACACATTCACATGGAGGTGAGAGAACAAGTCTTCTTTCTCATGGGTCGACGATTTATGCCTTGTATCGTCGTATGATTCTAATGGAGTCAGACGTTGTCGCTTTTTGCCATAAAAGAGTCTGTTGACCAACACACTATCAGCAGAAGTGGTCCATAATCGGACTAAATATTTACCTCTTGACTACACTCGTCTTGTCATCATCAGCACCGGCGATTTCTTGGAAGTCAAGCAGTGCCGTCTCAATTTGAAATATACAGTTGTCCATACACTCGGATACGTCGTGTTGTTTACCTTGCAACACCGGATAAATCTCAACCGCGATATATAATGAATAAGAGGTACCCACCAAACATCATTACCGAATCATCCGTCTGTCGGGGTTTTCGCGATGGTAGTGGTGGCGGCTTTGAATCCGACTGAACACCTCGTGAGTCGGGATCAGCGATCTCAATATCACTATCTCGACTAGGCGACTTCATTTTTGACGATGACGCGATTGACTGTTCAGATCGACTTTGAGGCGGAATATCTGACACAGGTGAAGCTGTCTCTGGTTCGAATTGCGCAGTGGTATCGGTATCTTGCAATGCTGATGGGCTGTCTACGTCCATGGCCGAATCGCCGTCGCGAGTTCGTTTTCCCAGTACACTTCCTGTTGGGCTGTCGACAGGGGAGGAAGAAGAACGGTCATATGCTGGGCGGGGGGGAGCATCGTCTACGAGAGTAGCATCTGTATCATTGGACGCGTCGGTACCTGGTCTGTCCATGTCATCTTCTTCCTCATCTTGTGACGTAACAAGAGCAAGCTTCGCCAGATCAATGGTAGGCGTTACAGCAGGAACATCACAATATTCCAGATTCCAAAAGAGGTCCGCAAGTTGGTTGACGACTATTGATGTGGATCAGTTATAACATGTTAGCAATCACCCCAAGCACCTCACACTTCTTGGAACGCAGAATCTCTCTTCGCGTGACCAGTCTCCCACCGACACGATGCCGCTTGAGATCGTCGTCAGTAAACTTGCTGTCATCAAGGTCCTTAACGCTTGAGTTAGCAAAAGGTGTGATTGCAGCACGCAGGTCTTTGATGGTATAGAAGTACTACGTTTCCCAATCAGTTTATATATCTACAATCTCACCGTGAACACTCACCTGCAGCAATGAGTTTAGGTAACATGTGTTGCCTAGTTGATTCAACCCACGCGGCATATCTGCGTTGTTCACTTGCGTGGCATCACCGGCTTAACAAGGCTCAGCGCGTTGCACACTTCGTTCAAATACCAAATGCTTACGATCCTGACCAGTGACAAGGAATTGGCGCAATCTCTCACTATCGGTCGTCTCCGCGATGACGGTCATGGCCTCTCGCATCTTGTCCAGCTGGCTCGGCTGGTCCGTAATCTGCATGCCGATTAGCCACACGTTGGAAAATGCCAGTGGTGTAACGACCGACCCGCATGAGAAATATAGTCAACAGCATGGACTCATCGACGTCTTTGGGCACCTCTAAAGTTGAATAGGCCGCCTCAATTGTCATTCCTGTACCCCGCTCCTCCTCCCATGCCTTCTTCAGCACTACGCTCCCTCGATCGTCTGCAATCCACCGCAGAGCATCGTTGAGCTCCAGGCGCATCTCGCTTCCTCTCTCGATGTCACGCCACGCTCGCCGTCGTGCATTCCGCCATGCCTCCAGCACAAACTTGTCGTCAACATCCCGATCAAACTCGACCCCTAGCTCGCCGTCCTTGCCGAAACCGAGCATCACGGCAGCCTGTTGAAGGTCGGCGTTCGTGTACCGACCTCGCCCACGTTCTTCCACGACCTGCTGCTGTAGATCTGAGGCGCTCTCGCCACCATTATACAGTGCTTGTACAAGGAAGTAAAAGCTAGAGAAATATGTCGGCGTATTTGCCGGGTTACAGCGGCACTGTGCAAAGTACGCAAATGCGAGTAACTCTGACGAGAGGATCAGTCAACAAGCTGGATACTCAGCGTCTCCGTACTCGCCTTGAGAGTACGTAGCCGGCGTCATACCCAGTACGCGCCAGTGGCTGTCCAAATCTTCCACGCCGACGAGACTATCTGGAAGCATGCCGCGCGCAACTGCAGACAAATCAGCAAGGACATCGATCAGAATCATGCATCCGCTTACGCTGACTGCTGTGTGCACCGATCCCAGTCAGACACATTGTCTGCGCATCCGATACTTGCACATGCAGGTCTCGCGGATGATATTCTCCCGAAGGGTCGTCTGGACAATGTTGCATTCAGTGCCCTCGACGTGAAATAAAAGACTCCAACGCACTCGACTTTTGGTATATCATCAACCACGCGCTTATCTCTGCCCACGCGCGCAACAGCGTTGTCCGCACCTGCTTACCCTCCACCGTCGTTGGATCAATCTCTGGAGGCTGCAGCGCTAAGCCGCGCTCCTTGTCCTCACCCATCGGCGCCGTATGGAACATGAGTATGTCGAATATCTTGCGCCTGTATATCATCAGATATATACGCATTGCACAAACCATGCACGACGGACAACCGCTTACAACGTGCTGTTCCACCCGACCTTCTGCTGAAACCTCGCTCCAGATACCATTAGCAATCGACGCTCGTCCTTCCACAGCCGATTCTCAATGATCCTGTCAGACGTCAGCCCGATACGACCCATACGTGGATCCGGCTTACGAAAGTATCGTCTCCCAAGCAGACAGGACGGACGCCTTGGGCGTCTTGTCTGGTGGTGGGTGTGAAAGCTTCTGTCGCGTCAGCTTGTCAACCAAATCAACAGGGACCACCCCGGGGATGATGTCCGACACAAGACAGTACATCGAACACTGGCAGCACAAGTAGAGATCCAGCATTGTGTCGTCTCGCATGAACGGCGGGTTTAGCGTGCGCGCGTCGATTGCCCTCTCGTAGCAGTGCCAATGGTGCGTCACGTTCGCTTGCCCAAATGGCTGCTCGCCGTCGCCGACACAGGAGGTCGTGCGCTTCCGCCGTGCAAGGTCCGGCAGGTCATAGTCCTGCGTCAGCTTGGGGACAACGGACGACGATCGCCAAATAACGAGCACCCAACCATTGTGCTCCTGGCAGTAGTAAGCATTAGGATGTGGGATGGCCGTACGCGCCTCTTCTGCCGTTGGCGAGAGGTTGTTCACGACCGGTTGCGGCTGAACGTTGACCGAGTATAGCACATGGCTCGGGTCATGCATCCTATCTGCAAGCAAGGGCGGGAGGATACCCGGTCCTGGCCTGTGGCACCTTTCACGGAGGGCGGTATCCGCCCAGTTGAGCTCCTCGTCCTCGCTGCGACCATCGATAGCGACTTTGAATGTCGTCAGCGAGTTGTCCCAGATGTCACTTCCCGCCCATGCGGTATCCCAGTGCGTCGCGGATGCATCTGGCCAGTCCGAGTTAGAGGTGGGCTTTGCCCACTGATCGCCTGGAGTGATCAGGTCGGGTATGGGCTCGTCCTGGACGAGCTGTGGCTCACGGAAAGGCGAGGGCGTAGGAGCAATGTACCCTGTATGCGACGATCCCTGCCCGCCGTTGCTCGACCCATAGAAGACTGAAGCTGGAATAGGTGTTTGGACAGAGGCAGCATCTGCAGAAGATGTCTTGTTCCGTCTGGTGTCCAGCTCTGGCGAACGAGTCTTCTCCGGTCGAGGGGGAGTTCGGGAGTCGCCTGTCATCGTCACCCTAATATTTTTTCCTGTAGAATTTCCCCGTTAGAATGTGCTGAAAGTAAACGATTTTGCAAGGACAATGAGGGCAGAGAAGAAAGACGCGTCCCGCAGCCTCAAGCCTCCGCAAGCCATTGCCTTCTTTGGAAATCCATCTGGGCTTAATTGGATTTAGTTTCTTTTTGGTTTCCTATTGTTCTATCACCTAAGTAGTATGTTACATAACATTAATGCGGGACATCTTGCCGGAGAAAATTCAGTAAATATGGCTCAGCACATACACAAAGATTAGATTTGACATAAAACCGTGTGCATCGGAACTGCCAAACACATCTTCCACGATTTTCCGAAGAATACTATTCTTCCAAGACTTTCCAAGGAAATTTCGAGTTATTGTGGATATCTTATATAATACCCGCAGAGAAAGATTATCGTCGACGTCCGCTTACCTGGACTTATTTCTTTTAGAAGCTCATTTTAAGAAAAATAAGAGCAAGTAAAACCAAATAAGATTTCTCAGCCCAGTATTCTGGATAGTCTCACATGCTCTTATTTTGCTTCAAAACCAGAGTAGCGAGATAAGTAGAAGTTGACTTTTGCTGATGCGCATCACAGTACCGTCTCCAAACTTGAAGACGATATCGCTCTTCAACCTTCAACTTTCACCGCCCATTGTTCCTCCTCTTAGTGTAGGCTTCCTGTCTTGTGGGTCGTGACTGCATTTGAAGCAGTGCCTCGCAACCCATGGCTGACTTCACCGCACTAGCATCAACAAAAGTCACATTAGCGCTGTGAAGTCTGAGACTTCACAGCGCTAATGTAGTCTACTCACTCGACTTCCTTACAGAAGAATCTTCATGATATCGATTTCATACATCCATAAGTCTGGAAGTGAAGTAAGTCGAGGATAACAACAAGAACAACTACAGATTGATCGAATAGGGATCCAAGGCAACAAAAAAGTACGCGATATTCATTTCCAGTAACTTGAACGAAGGTCAATGAACCACATCCAGATTATAATACAGCGGTACGGACGAGAGCGGATATGGTGATGAAGATACTACAACTCAAAGCGAAGCATGCCGCATATGATAAATCGAGATTGCGAAATGATCGCTCAAAGCGCTGAGATCACTTTGGACTAGTGAACAAGGCCTGGTCGCCGTCGAGTCGCAATGTAGTGATGCGAGTTGCACCGCCATCTTGTTGCACGCTGTATGCGGGTAGTTATGAAAGTCAGCCGTATGTGGCACAACATGTGCTAAAGTAAAACGTACGTTGCCGTCGCAGAAACCTCCACATTCTGTCCATCCTCTGCATTCTTCGGCGTCCACTGTAAGTTCGTCCCAAGCTACAATCGCCCTCTGATGAGCTGATCCAAGATCCTGGCCTAATTAAAAGCTTACATGACCATCCTGCAGCCCATTTACCTCGGTAAAGTGTGCGCTATCGGCGTCCCATTTCCTCTGTAGTGCCAGTAAAGCCTCCTTAAGTCCCGCTCGGTCCACCTCACTGCCTGCCACGACACCAGTCGCGTCGGAGGAAAATAGATTGTTGAAGCGAGTGCTAAAGAGATCAATAGGCCCATGCCCCATGCGTAGCCCCCCATTGGTTAGTGGTCTGAAATGGATGTATGGCGACGAGAGAAGCTGGGAGAGTTGCTGCTCGAGCCATTGATTGGATGCAGTGGTTGGGGCGGACATTGGTGATCTTTTGTGTGATAGTGTGAGTATGAGTAGTGAAGAAGACGTGTAGTGGTACGAGACAGGGAAGATATAAGGTCGCAAGAAAGGCATGGAGCCGGCCAGACGCTGCCCGGCATCGACTCGGTGCGAAACCCGGAAAGATCGCGACGCGTTCGCTAATGATGTCATAATCACGCGACCCGAGCAGCTCAGCATGTGACTTGGCGCGCGGCGCGCTCAGGGCCAGCTCGTCGTTCAAGTTCGTGTCCACGGCCGCCCAACTCGTTGATGTTTGCGCGGCAAAAATTGAACCAAAGAATCAATTAGTCTGTGCGGAAGCTAGCAGGGACTTGATCAGAGTTCACTATGTTGTGAAGAGGTGTTGAAGTCGGTCTACCAATTCACTGGGTAATC